CAAAAGGCCAATGATTAGAGGAAATGTTAGGTAAAATGGGTACCAGTTCTGTCCTGCCTGATTTCCTCCATAGAGTCCACTGGTGTAGTCTTTCCAAAATTCTGCCTAAAAAAATAAATTGTGGGTTATTGTAATCAATTTTTACCTACTGGTGCTATAATTATGGTTGTTTGCCATTAACTTTGATTTTGTATTTAGAATATTGCAGTATGTTTGAATGACAAGTGGAATAGAAGCATTTGAAATAAAAGAAAGCAAAAAAAAAAAGAACAAAGAAAAATGAGTTCCTTTTTACAAATTAATCTCTAAAAGGAGGAATTTAAATTGGGGATTTCTAGAAGTCCATCTTTTCCATGTTAGAATAAAAATAGCTGTACATTCTGATCACAGAAGATAAAAATAATGGAATCTTATAAGCCTGCTAAAAGATCATTCTGAGATGATTTAGCAAAAAAGAGCTGACTCAGAGTAAGGATCATCTAGGTCCAAAATGTAAAGTTTCATATTTAGTAGTTATTTTCTAGCCTCATTCTTTAAGAAGACAACACAATGCATGCCTTAGCTCTAATGCAGTATCACATATTATATGGGAAAATATTAGATACATTAAATATGTGAAGAATGTTTTACATTTTTAAGTAGGTAACGTACCGTCTTTTCATCATTTTCAAATGCTTCTCTTGCCTCTTCTTTATCACAGCGTTCTTCATAACATTCACGCTCGATGTTTCCTTTTTTAAGTTCTTCCAAAAGTCCATTAGCCCGTGGGTATCTCTTTAAGACAGAATTGGCCTTAGCCTCTGTGAGGAATACTGCAGAAAACAAGGAATTACTAATACTTACAAGTTAAGAAATATATGTTCAGGATATTAAATCAATATTCTGCAGCATGAAGATGTGCTGTTTGTGTCTACTTGGTAGCAAAGTTAATTCTACAACCAGTTCAGTTAATCAAACTGAATTCATCGTTAAGGATGAGAGTAGATAGTAAGATTTAAAACAGCATCAAGTAACATGTTTCAGATATTTCAGATATAAACTCATCCTATCTCTGTAAAGCTTGAATCTATTGGATTATGCAAACATAAAAATTTGCTATACTCATAAATATTTGGGGTTGTTTAAATGCTGGAACTAACCACGTAGCAATAAGAAAATGATTGAGAACACTTGAAGTCTAATTCCTAAGTGTTAAAATTTAACAGACAATTAGTATACAAACATCCAACAGAGAATGCTCAACTGATGTGTGCTGTATTGCTTACTTTAGGCAGGGATAGTAAAAAAGGCAGCTTTCACAAAACAAAACAGGAAGTATTAGCACTCTATTTGTCCTATATTCAATGCTTTTCTCCATGCTGGAGGAGAAATAGTGGCATATATATAGAACTTGGGGCTGGATAATATAATAACTATAGAAAACTTTGGGAAAAGAACCTATGTGCAGCTACAAATAATTTCCCCTTGATCTGATCTAAAAATGCTTAATTAGTGCCAGATACTGGAGGAGTGGGGGGGGAAGGGGGTTATCGTGATCTACCCATCATGGATAGTTCACAAATTAAATTTAATGCTAAAATAATGATGCAATTCCTGTCAGGTTGAGTTGTTGGAATGGAGAAACTGATGCGAAGAATCTTACCCTTGAAATACATATAAGCTAGGTAGTTAGGCATGCAAAAAAAAAAATTCATCCACAAAGATAAAAAAGTACTTGTACAGCATTACTCATTTTTCAAAGTGAATGTTCAGATAGATAATATGCACTTACCACTATCCATGTTTAATACTTTTCTCTAGAAAGCGCTGTAAGGAAAAGAGAAACAACTTTTGTTAATGGGATAAAAAAGTTTTAAATCAAGAAGTAGTGATTATGTGGCACAAATTGAATTACAGGTTAATCTGATAATGCAGATCTTACTATTCTATTCTTAAATCTCATTTAATGTGACTATGTATATAACACCATCATTTCATTTAAAAAATAAAGAAAACCATGCCACGCTTTTGTCAAATCTGTGTTTCACATCTGAAATGATTGATTAATGATTTCCATTAACAGAAAGCCTTTGAGTGGTTCCTGGGTAACAATGCATAAGACCATTTTGAACCAGAACAATCTTATAAAAAGATTGATGCCCTTAGTTAAAAGAAAAAAAACTGAATTGACTGCACTGAATTAATAATTTAACATGTTAGGAAATGTAAATAAAGCTTATATGAACTATTTCTCATCTGTTTTCAATTGTATGGAATGTCTACCAGACCTTTGGAACACACAGGATGGAATAGTACTGTTGCAGAAAAGATTTGTTAGTTCAGAGGAAAGAGAAAGTATGAAAAACATAAAATAATCCTGCCTTAATGTTATTTGTAAGTTGATCTGGAGAATTACTTTGGCAGATTTCACTGGTCTACAAATTTTGGGAAATTATCGACCTTCAAGATAAAGTGTGTTAATTCTTACATATTTTGAATAGCTGAATTAGAAAACAGGTGATAAAGGTGCTGGTTGGCTAAAGTTTTCAAGATATTTCACAATAAAGATTTATACATAGGCAAGCATATTTGCCTACAAGGGAGGGAGGTGTCTAATGATCACTATATCTCATAACTTCTCAACAAAGTACAGTAGAACAATGAAAATGGTACCACATAGAAGTGTATAAATTTATCTTCACTTTGAGACTAAAGATTATTACCTAACTGTAATTTATTGTTGTTTTATTGTAAGATACATTTGTCTTGGTCAGATCTACGCATCATACAGTTACATTTGGTGGATTGTGAAAGTGTCATTGCCTAACATTTCCAAGGAACAGTTGCGTGATATTTTCCCTCAGAAGCCAAGATGCCACAAAACTAGGGTGGATTTTATTTAAATCAAATCAATTTAAATCACGATTTAAATCACTAGTAAAAAGGCTTGATTTAAATCAACTCGATTTAAATCATAATTTTTAAAGAGCAACTGTCATCTCTGTCCCGCAGTGGCTCCTCCTCTAACCCGCTGTTGACTCACTGACAGTCCCATTCACTTTAACGGGACAGCTGGTGATGCGGCAGTGACACAACAAGGTGAGGGACATGGCGGGCAGCAGGTGAGTGGATGCCCGCTAACAGACGCTGCCATGATGGATCTGAAATGACAGGTGCTCTTTAAATGTAAGGATTCATTCTTGCTGGTAGTTAGAATCTTTAATATTTTATTTGCAAACAAAATGAAGGTTTCCTATTTAGAATAAGCTGTCAGGTTAAATTAAACAGCGATATCAGAACCGATTTTAGGTTAATCACACATAGTTGGAAAAAACTACTCAAATTCTTTCATTTAATTAAAACATTTAGAGCCTGGTATAGATGCATTTCCCTTCAAACAATCATACAATTTGTAGTGTACATAGATTTGCAAAACAATGGGATAAAGTAATATTCCTGAACTTTGTTTTATGATTTATCTCATGGTTACTGTGAAATTGTGTGAATGCATCAATGCAGTATATGTTATCACAGCTTACAGAGCTTGGATTCATTGAATGAGTTTACAAAAAATGTAAATATTGCAGAATATACAGCCTCATGCTACATAACTAAGTTCCATTTTATGCTGAATAAACTAAATTATTAATGTGTCTTAAATAAAAAATTATATTTAGATTTTTACTCCAAAAGCATTTTATTAAAATAAATTTGATAAAAATAAAAAAACCTGATCTAAATAAAAATTGACGCAGATAAGTTACACATGTAATGCTTATTGTTGCATTACATGTGCAACCTAACTGCATCATTGGCTAAAGAAGAAGAAAAAGTTCATGCCTTTTGCAGTTCCAATGGTGTGGAGGGAACCCACCAATTCATAGTAGTGACTGCTCTTTTTGCATGGTTCCCCCAATTGCAAAAGGGATCTTATTCTGAATTGTATAGCTCTATGTAACCCTAACTAGAGAGCATGCATCAGTATGCTAGAATATCTGGCAGTTATTGGGTTAAGTGCTGGTTTTGTTAATGGGTCAGTGGGAGGAATTTCTAAAGGGCATTGGGAGACTTCCTGGACACAAGCCAAATGGGAATGCCTTTGTTCATCCAGCCTCATGGCCCCTAGCCACACGGCTTGGAGATCTTATGCTTATGCCAACATGTGATGCTTATGCAGAAGAAGAGGGGAAAATTCATTATCATTTTACCTATGGAAATGAACAGAGATGTGTTATCCAGAAGCAACAACGTAAAAGCAAGTATTTTCTCTGAATAAACATATTTATCTGTTTTGCAATCATTTCTATTGAGTTAACTGTCTGCCCTAGATGGGACAGAAAAGCAAGTTGTTCTGTCTGGGTCAGAACAGATCTCAAGAAAGAAGAAGTAGACCATAGCATATCCAAACATCCCATCTGCACTGGTCCTGTACCCCTTATGGTAATGACTTGCCAATTCCTGATCTACCAGAATCCTACTCTCTAGACTCCGATGATGATGAAGACGATGAACAGAATGCAGCTGATCCAGGGCCGTTGATGTCAGCAGACCCAAACTTTAGCCCACCGCATGCTCCTCCTGAACCACATCTAATTTCACAGAGTGAACTAAATGACCTGGTCAGGGATTTGGAATTACCTAAGAGTAAGGCAGAATTACTGGGCTCCAGATTACACCAGTGGAACCTTGTCATTTAATCTGATATTAGAGCTTGTCAGTTTTTCATGCAGAAAGCATGAAAATGTTACATGAAAAACCAATAAATGAATGGAAAGTTATGTTATTGATATCAATAAAAGATAAATTTATAATGATTGGTGTGGCACCATTCTCGTTGCTATATCACATTTTGCAGAAAAGTTATGGAACATAATTGCATATCCCCCTCGTAATTTTGAATTATTTTGTGACTCAATTCTGGTAAAATTAAGCTACTTTCATTTCTGAGACTTTCTCCTTGTAGACTAGTATTTTCAAGGTTCTGTTATATTATTCAACTAGCAATGAAAATCATTCCAGAAATCCAAGGGGTGTTTGGGTTTCTGGAATGATCTTCATTGCTAGTTGAACTTGGGGCTGGATAAGTTTCCTGAACTTGCTAGGTGTGAAGACCTTGACAGACAAAAGTATTTTCACCATGATTTAGAATAAACAAGCTCACAAGAACACAAAAAAACCCCAAAGTAGATATTGCAATGGACAATATTGAAGTTCACATTCTTATTTCTTGATATTAGGAACAAGAATGTTCTTTTAAATGTTATTAATTTTTCTAAGATTGTTAATATTTTTTATGTTTTAAGTAGCAAAAAACTAGTTCTTTCTGGAGAGGAAAAGAAGTAAATTACAAACTAAATATGGCCAATTAGTATTTCTTAGTATTATCTTCTACAAAATCTTATTTCCGATTCATCTGGAACAGAATCAAGAATTGATTCATCATCATCATCATCATCATCATCATCATCATCATCATCATCATCATCATCATAATAAAGTTGGAAGGGACCTTGGAGGTCATCTAGTCCAACCTCCTGCTCAGGCAGGAAACACTATACCATTTCGGACAAATGGCTGTCCAGTTTCTTCTTAAAAACGTCCAGTGTTGGCGCATTCACTGCTTCTGGAGGCAGGTTGTTCCACTGGTTAATTGTTCTGTCAGGAAATTTCTCCTTAGTTCTAGGTTGCTTTTCTCTTTGATTAGTTTCCATCAGTTGCTTCTTGTCCTGCCTTCAGGCGCTTTGGAGAATAGCCTGACTCCCTCTTCTTTGTGGCAGCCCCTGAGATATTGGAACACTGCTATCATGTCCCCCCTCGTCCTTCTCTTTGTTAAACTAGACATACCCAATTCCAGCAACCGTTCCTTATATGTTTTAGTCTCCAGTCTCCTAATCATCTTTGTTGCTCTTCTCTGTACTCTTTCTAGAGTCTCAACATCTTTTTTACATCGTGGTGACCAAAACTGGATGCAGTATTCCAAGTAGGCCTTACCAAGGCATTATAAAGTGGTATTAATACTTCATGTGATCTTGATTCTATCCCTCTGTTAATGCAGCCTAGCACTGTGTTGGCTTTTTTGGCAGCTGCAGCTCACTGCTGGCTCATATTTAAATGATTGTCCATTAGGACTCCGAGGTCCCTCTCACAGTTACTACTATTGAGCAAGGTACCCCCTATACTATACCTGTACATTTGTTTTTTCTTGACTAAATGTAGAACCTTACTTTTTTCACCATTGAATTTCATTTTGTTAGATAGCGCCCAGTGTTCAAGTCTGTCCAGATCCTCCTGTATCCTAAGCCTGTCTTCTGGAGTGTTGACTATTCCTGCCAGCTTGGTGTCGTCTCCAAATTTGATGAGTTCCCCATCTATCCCCTCATCCAGATCGTTGATGAAGATGTTGAAGAGCACTGGGCCCAGAACAGAGCCCTGGGGCACCCCACTACATACTTCCCTCCATGTAGATGCGGTTCTATTGAGGACCACACGCTGAGTACGGCCAGTCAGCCAGCTATGGATCTATCTGGTGGTGATGCTGTCTAACCCGCATTTTTCTATCTTATCAAGTAGTAGGTTGTGATCTACTTTGTCAAATGCCTTACTGAAGTCCAAGTAAATTATATCCACAGCATTCCTCTGGTCCACTAATTTTGTCACTTGGTCAAAGAATGCAATAAGATTTGTCTGGCATGATCTGTTTTTGACAAACCCGTGTTGGCTTTTAGTAATGACTTTGTTTGCCTGTAGGTGTTCGCTGATTCGTTGTTTGATTATCTTTTCCAGAATCTTCCCAGGTATTGAGGTCAGGCTGATAGGTCTATAA